CCACTGACGTCTGGAGCGGGGGATCCCAATCCGCGACAGCTACTAACACTCGCTAGTTCAAGAGTTTCTGCTCAAGAAAGAGTGATATTCCAAGAAAAAGCTCGTGTATCAATCATAAAAAGCTGAGCTGCAAAAGCTCAACTTTTCTTTGCAAAACCTTTCAAGAATATGAAGCCTCTAGTTTGTTTCTTGTTTTTTTCAGCAAAGAATACAGTCATTTGATGTTACTCCAGAGAAAATTCCTATAGTACTATCATTGCCTCTCGTATCTCCCCTTTTATAGAAGCCCAGGAGGCTCAGTATTTTTGTTCTGAGCCACAATGAGATTTAATGAAATTTTAAAGTCATACATTTCGGTGGCAATGGCCCTGATATTCTTCTGTAATAACTTCAATATTTTCGAAATCCATATCTTTGCGTTGTTTGGTAGATAAGTGCAAACTGATACAGGAACGCAACGCTATCACGGGAGAATGTTGCGAATTGAAAAAAAAACTGATCAGGAAATGAAGATTTGGAATTTCTGTGGTCATAAAATAATTAACCCAAGATCAATGTCTGACCTTTCAGCGTCTATGGACGAGTTCCGGAATATGCCCCAGATGCGCCAGCTCAGATTCGGTCAGACGGCCGTGTTCGGATGTTTGTCTCAATTTCATCAAAGAGCTTTTGTCCCATCAATTTCAAGCGATTTCCATTCGACGAGCAGACCTGTTCCTTTTCCGTGAGTTTACTAGATTTCTTTTCTGTTCGAAATCCAGAAAAGCAGAGTGAAAATAAGTGATAATAGTTTATTATAAGTATAGAAATTCAAGAACAATGAGCAACAATGCTGTACAATGCCGTAAATATGCGGATTTCTCAATTGGAATGTGTTCGGTTACATTAACACAATGAGATTCTGATGATGGATAAACAATGCCTTCATGGGAGACTTCAGTAGAGTAGCAAAGTATTGGGCTACAATCCGGGTAAACACGCGTCTCGTTACAGAACTTTGCTTGTGGAAAATTCGAGCAGATTACTGTAGTCAGCACGAATTTTTTGCTTAAATTTTCTCCAGTGAATTCGACGGTAGTACCAGTAGAATTTTCCTCCTCACAAAGAGGCTCCATGCTCATTTTTACATCTGCGGTTGAGTAAGCTTCTCCACGAGAAAGGGTGATGACCGGGACCTGGACCACTTCATTCTCGCCCACTGTGCGATTTTCCAATTCGAAATTTGTTTCGACCAGTGGCTGAGATGATTCGGTGAAATTCTCCGAATCTGAAGCTGTCTCCACAAGAAAGTGTTCTTCATTGCTATATGGAAATGGTTTCGCTTTTGTGTATTTGTACTGCACCGCATACACAGAATCCGACGAAAGAGGTAGACAAAATGTGCCATTTGATTTTCCGGTGCTGAAATTGGCCATGCAAATAATATTGCAAAAAGTGAATTACAAACCGAAATGTTTTCTTTCGAGGTTCGCTATCGGCTTTGGCAAGGTTCTGAGCAGTAAGCGTGACATAACCTTCTTCTTTGTTCTCATGAATCGCAGTATCCACGATTAGCTTGTACCCAGAATCGCGCTTTTCAACCTAAAATTATCACCAAATCCCGTTTATGGTTTCTCGCCCACTACCATATGCTACCGTAACATCGTCGGGCAGATAAGTGTCAAATGTATGTGAATAATCTACAGTCAGGGCCCGGCACGAGGTGGGCAAAAGGGGTTTTCCGATACGATTACCCCTTTGATCCCCAAATTTTTACGAATACCCTCTTGAGCCCAAAAACGATGCTTCG